AAAGTTGTGAAAAATCATCAAAATTTTTTTGCACTTTAAAAAATTTTGGAGAATCAGTCTTGACCAGATCTGTTTTATATACTTGCATTTCCACAATTCGTTATATATCCATTCATTAATTGTAGACAACGTTTCCATATAGATATCAAGGTATCTATAGCGCCCTCCCTTATTTCTAAGGAAGGTAAGTGCGGAAGAAAATCGTTTCCAACGAAAAAACAAAGAAATACCCAATCATCAATCGCATTTTCCAGGTCAAATGGCCAAGTCATAGATGGTACTCTGAGTTCAATTGCAAGATATTCGCGAAGAGTCTCTATATTTAAAAGTACGTATGGCTTATTGTAATCCACATTTTTCCCATTATCTTTTGATTTTGGGCGAGTTACTAAATCAGCTTTACAAAAATAATTATTTTATTTAAAAAAAAGATCGATAATAGTCAATTTATTTAATCAAGTTATTAAGGCTATCACATGGTATTCAAAAATAACTACCTCTACATTGGTTGGCAATGTGGTCCATGCGACCACATATATAACAACCCTTAAAACTGCCGTCATTAAAAAAGACATCTTCACGCAAAACTTTGAAGTGAGGTTCATGAGTACTCAACGAAAGCATAATCAAATCAGCATCCTGTTATAAAAAAAAACTTCTTAATTAATAGGAAAACTTATACAGAAATTATTATCAAAAATACCAACCAAGCCATATATAACATGCCGTGTGTTAGGGTCATGGTAAGGACTGGAACGCTGTCCGCGAATGAAATCCATGATTTTATGTTCACCTTCACCTGGAACACTAGCATCAGATAGGATGACTTTTAACTACATTACAGAAGAATTGAATTATTAATGACAAAACTTTATGAAGCGAATCAATAATAATGATTAAAAAAAACATAAGTTGAATTTACATTTTTCCAACCAGGATCATAATTAAGCTTTTCAGCGATCCAATATCGTAAGCATTTGGCAAGATTTGCCATAAAAGGAGTGCCTATAATGATTTTAAACAATGAGAATAAATCGTACAATATACAAATATACTGAAATTTACGATCAGATCAGATAAATACCTGGCGTTATACAATTACTGTCGAATGATTTCTTTTGAATCAATTCCTCATCGATTTGTGTACCTGATGCTATTGCATGTTGAAATAAGTCAATACATATAATTTATATTATTAATACATATAATTTATATAATTATGTATACCTTTAAGACTTTCAATTTCCTTAGCTCTTTCTTCGTTTTTTATTCTATCTTCTTGTGCTGTACGAAAACGTCGTGATCGCTGTTGATTCATTTTGGCTCGAGGAGCCACACCATCTAATGCAATGATGAAAAAGTTTTGTTAATGCATTTTTAAAAAAATGAAAATTACTAATGACATAACAAGTATTACCTATGGCAAGATATAAAATTTTTCTTGGCCGTACTATGCTAATAATTCTTTCTGTATATTTAAAGATTTCAATCATCATGTCGTCTTCAGTTTCTGGTGCCGGCTAATTAAATTAGAGAATTAGTCAATTAACTCCATTTTGATCGCTTATTCAATAAAGAACTGTGCATACCTTGCCTTCAGGATGACAGCAAGGATGTATTATACCATTCATGTCCAGGTAAAGGTTGTCAAATTCTAAATTATTAGGATTCGGTTTCGAAATGTCTATGGGAATCTCAACGCCATTGATCTCAGCCGGCAGTTCTTCGACGACCTTTTCAATGATTTTTGGATATTTTTTTGAAAGCCATCTATAAATTCGTTAATCTTTTGTAAATAAGCAAGATCTATTATACCATAATAAGGTTATAAGCCTACACTTACCTAAAAAGAGCCGGAACTCCCATTATGATTTTTTTTTTTAGAAATGCTGAGCAGCGAGGAGAATACTAGAACGCTAAAAGAATAAACCTGTATTAATATAATTGTGGTGTAACGTCATTTGTAGTTCTCTAATA